TTCTATGGTGATGGAAACATGTGCTCCAGCCTTTCATTAGCAAAGTAGAGAAAGTATTTTAAAGTAGTTAGCTTATTAAAGATTAACTGCTGGATGTTCTGCAACCAAAAGCACTCTTCAGTACAGCTTGCCTGTATGAAAGCATCTGTAAAAAGCTAGAGCAACTGCGTTATATATTACATGTGAATGTATACCTATGGCATATTCTACACTGATATATCTAAAAATAAAGTTCAGATTAGCCTGAAACCCTGTGTAACCAGGAGCATGGTGCTCTGTATAAGCTAACTCCTTATATTAAGGTACTTTGTTGACTTTATCTGTTTTTACTCATTTCCTTGAGGATTTGCATATATGAGAATGATACTTGAGAGAATTGTTAACTACTCTGCCATCCATCATCTTGGATCTTACCACCATCTCCTTAAGCAGAATGTCTCTAGGTAACGCATTCTTCTTCAGTCTCAACTCCTCCTCTGTATTTGCAATACGGTATTCTTTGACAGACTTGATGCGAGAATGACTGAAATGATGCATGCAATGCACTTAAATATTCTAAAATATTACAAAAATATAAGTAGAAACTATTATTATTATACAGGGTTGTGCAAAGCATTCCAAACGGGTCATTTGCAAAGCCTGTTAGCCTCAGCAAAGCTTCTCTCCTCCGAGGGTTAAAATAGCTTCATCCTCTAGAATGCTTTCTCAGCTGCTTCACAGTTGTCTGCGCATACATGTGCATGCACAAACAACTCTTCTGCCAGGACCATCAGTGAAATGAAGGGGCTGCGTGTGCACATACAGAAGAGACAGCTGGGGACAGCCTTCTAAAGTGGTGGGCGCCTTCCAAATCTGCAGTTCTTTATACTGGAAGAAGGGGTGCTAGCAATGATTTACAAAGCCTGCCTTTCAAATGCTTGTGCAGACCTTTTTATGTCACTTAGCCTGTATCTGGTATCATCTTGTACTGTCAGTCTTTTACACAGATAATTACACTGAAATATACAATGATTTATTTATTGTAGAGAAAGCAAAAGCAAATGATACATCTGGAAATTATGCTTCAGGATTTAGTGCCTCACTTCTTGTTATATGCATGCTAAAAATTTCTGCTGTGCCAACTGCTCTCAAGGGTTTCTGAAAAATGGGCTCGGTGACATCATTAGAGTCATCAGTCCCATTTTCTTTTTTTTATTAAATGTTATTAAAAGCTTTAAAGAGAATATACAGACCAACACCAACTAATACAAAATAGGGAGAATAAAGGGGGGGGGGAGGAAGAAAAAAGCAAAAGTGCAGTGAGAAGAATAAAAAGTAATAGAAAGAAGCAGCTTCTGATTTTCTCTGCAGCAAATATAAGTATAATGACAACATTATCTCTTACTCTATGGTTACAAAAAAAGCTCACTTTTTTCTATTATCCATTTTTCCCTAATCATCAAAACCGCAAGTCATAAGTGCATTTTTTTCTGTTTCATGCAAAGAGTCTATAAGGGGGTTCCAGTCAGCCACAAATGTAGCTATTGTCTTTTCTCTCATTAAGAATGTTAATTTAGCCATCTCTGCAAGTTCTATCACCTTCATCAACCATTCCTCCATTGTGGGTGGTATCGAACCTTTCCTCTCTGGAGCATATAATAGTCTCACTGCAGTTGTCATATATAAAAACAAAGTTCCATGACTTTTTTCTAGTTGCCTGTCCATTAGCCCCAAAAGAAAAGTCTTTGGTTTCAGTTGTACTTTAACCTTTAAAATCTTCTGAATTAATGCATGTATTTGTATCCTTTTTTTTTTTTCCTGGCTTTTTTACATGTCTACCAAACATGATAAAATTCATGTTGTTCACATTTCCAACAAAGATTCAGAATACCGTTATACATTCTTGACAATTTCTCTGGTGACAAATACCAATGATACATCATTTTATAAAAAATCTCTATCATCGTTCCCATTTTCAAGCTAAAATAAAAAAGTCATCAACCATAAAACTCGAAAAAGAGAAATCTTATGGGGTATACCCAATACCAGTAACATAGATAGTAAAAGCTAACTATTTGTACAGCTTTTATGACTGCTTAGGAGACTCTTATTTCTTCTCAATTTCATGGGTTAAATTTCAGTTCCATCCTATAGTCACAAAAGGTTTTTCAGTTCAATTGCAACCATTAGTGTGTGCTAACCTTTGCACAAAGAAGGTCTGTCATATCTCCAGTGAAAGGAAGGAATAAATGTGACTTACTTATAAGCAATAGAATATTCAGAACCATGTTACCAAAACCAAGTATTTTCATTGTGGGTGCAGAAATTTTCAATTTACTTACTAGGAAGTATGCCTGACTGAACACAACAAGGTTTTTGAATGCAGAATTCAAACAAAAGAATTGTTAACATCAGAAACATATGAATTGAATTAAAACAATTAAAGCTTATTATTCCTTAAATAAATCATTACCATCTTAAAAATCCCCTTTATCTAGCAAAAGGTACAAGTGCTAGACATTCTACATTAGAGAATATTATATAAACAGAGCTGGGTCACAGATATGGAATTTGGAGCCCAACTCAGCAGTCATGTTATAAAGAATGAGGCTGACAAGGCAGTTCTCTTCCAAGCTAGAGACAACTGTTCTGTTATGTCAACAGAAATCAGCTGCTTTTCAAGACTCTCAAGAAAACAGCAAGAATCTGTTGATTCAGAAAAAAGGAAGGAAAAAGCCTAGACTGTAAAGCCTTGAGCGTAAGCCTATATATAGGCTTTGATTTCTGGGTACTGCAGTGAGCAGATCTTTTGGGTGTATATGGCTTCATTCTTGTCTGCAATAAAGAAACTAATCTTATCCAGTTGTGTCTGAGAGCCTTCTCCTGAATAAGCCAATTCCTGAATAAAGCATTAAGTTTGGAGAGTTGAGATTAACATCTGAGCCTCCTGTGAAGCCTGATATATGCAATACATTCTAATGTATACATTGTAAATTCAAATAAATATCCCAGACATTCATTGTTAAGGTTGTGGAGACTTCAGATATGATTTAGAACTGCTGCATGCTCACACAAGCACAGCGGCTCTCTGCTATACATTAACCAAGCTTTTTCAAGCTTCCACGATATCTGGGGAAATGATACCACTGTTTTAACAGTGGCATGAATGGGTTTTGTAAAGTGGCATGAATGGGTCCTGTAAAGCCTAAGCACATTTTTTTCAGGCTCTCACATAAGCCTGCAAAAAGTCAAACTACTTAAACGAGTAGCAGAAAACTGCTGCATTTTTACTTGCACAATGTCTGAAGTGCCTCTTCCAAATAATACAAAATACAAGAAGGATACTGAGGAACTGGAAAGAGTACAAAGAAGAGAAAAAAAGACGATGAGTGGCTTGGAGGCTAAATTTTATGAAGAATGGTTAAAAGAACCATTGGGTACGTTTAGCCAAAAGAAGAGAAGGCAAAGGGGAGACATGATAGTAGTCTTCCAATACCTGAGGGGTTGCCACAGGGAAGAGGATGTGGCTTTATTCACAATGTCTAAGGGTAGTACAAGAATCAATGGGTTGAAGCTTTACAGAGAGAGATCCAAACTCAAAATGAGTAATTTCTTGACCATGAAAACTACTAGAAAGTGGAACAGCCTGCCTCCTTGAGTCTTGGGTGCTTCATCACTGGAGGTTTTCAAACAAAGGTTGGATAGTCATTTGTCTGGGATGATCTGGGGATTCCTGTCCTGGGCAGGAAGTTGGACTGGAAGACTTCCAAAGTTCCTTCCAACCGTATGATTTTATGAATAATTTTTTTTAAGTCTGCAGAGTTTTATTCACTATATTATTCTTTACAAGTCACTTCTCCATCTTTGGGAGGCTACAGCAAGTTCAGCTACAGTAAGCAATAATATTATCATGACCGCTCAACAAAATTTTCCTCTTGAATTTACTATATTGCTGCAACATACCAGAATAACGAAGCAGTAAAAGTCTTGCATTACATCTGAGGAGATCCAGCTTCAAGTCAATGCGCAAACATGAAAGCTCCTGGATGATTTTTGGCCAGTCACATAGAAGATTGCTATGTATATTGCATGGAGCTTCTAGAAAAATTTGTAACAGCAACAATAATATATCCACTTATGAGCAGAGTGCTTATAGATGTAGACTTTGTATGGACAAGTATAATGAAATATGGGACTTATTTATTTATTTATTTATGTATATATCAAATTTGTCACTGCCCATCTTGTTAAAAAGTGACTCTTTTTTGTTATTAATTAAAAAGGAATAAAAAATAAATTAAAACAACAATAATATATGAATGCCATCTACTGAAAATAAAGACCTCTACAGCGGTTATACAAAATGCAGTAGGTTAAAAAAAATAACATGATAGTCATATAAATGTATTAGAAATATATACATACTTGAATAATATTTGCATTAGA